TGTTCTATTCATTTTTTTTTTTTGTACGTTAGTTTTCTTCTGGCCTCACAAGCTTGCTGTTTCCCTGGGAAATAGGTGACCATTACATCCTAATGGCACCAAGCTGTTGATGTTAAATGGGCCCAGTTACCACACTTGTGCCATTATCCCAAGTGGCTCAGAAGGAATGAGGAAGATTCGCATCCTGAAAAGGGTGTTCAGCAGTGCACAGCTAAGGTACATTTTCATGAAGTATAGGTGGTTTAATATTTTTCGTCCACAAAAGGTGGCATTTCTTCTTTTATCTGTTCCAGTGCAGTGTCATCCTCTGATACCTGCTGCTTCTGTTGCTCATCAGATGTCTCCACTAATGCATTAAACTGTTGAAAAATGTAGTAAAAAGGAGGGAAAAAAAAAAAAAGGAAGCTTATTTTTCTGCCTTTCAGTGCTGTAAATTGGTACACGGGAAGGTCCAGTGAGTGTCAGAGCTGGCACCAGAGAGGGCAGAGCCATGTGCTTGGGAGAGGAGCACATGCCTTTCTGGGAGCAACAAGGCATGATGGGAGTTGCATTCCTGCCTTCCACTTCCTGTGAGACACAGCTTGCTTTCTCACAGGATGCTTTAGGGAATTCTACTGAACAAAAACTACATTAATTAAAGCTAATCTGGTATCTTGGAACTTAGTTTGTTTCTTTATTGCTTATACCCACAGTTTATACACATTCGCTACACTCAGATGCACTAAAAGTATTATGAACCTAATACTTCCAGAATTTTACGTTGTCTTTCTTTAATTCCCAAAAGTCAGGCAATACCACATCATCTGTCATGATGAGAAGTGTGGTGTTCCAGGTCTTACTGAATCCAGAAGATGGAAAGCAACTACTGCTTTTCTCCTGTCTGAAACTTAAAAAGGAATTCTGGAGTGAAGCCCAGTGTGCTTCAGTGTATTTGTGACTTCCTAGGCTTGATACTTACGAGAAATTATCTTACCTTTTTCTCTTTAAACAAGCCCCCAAAACCTTACAACTCGTTGTGTGAGGATCAGTGCTGACACATCACCAGAATAACACATGTTCTGCTGGTACACTTTCAGATTGGAATGTAGATTGTAAGGGGTTCTGGTCTCCACGGTCAAAATGTCCCCATATCGCAGTTGAGTCAGTTTTGCCACCACACGGTGAAAGATCACCTAGATCCTTAACCATGCTTTCTTTGCTCTGCTCTGTGTTGGCTCTAGTCTGGTAACAGAAACGATTCAGTTCTTGAACTTTTCCCCCTTGCCCTCTCTGAAATACCCCACTTTTTTTTGGTTTGGCATGTTAGCTTTTCACTTTTTATTGACTTGATTCGCACTACAAGAATAGTGAACTGTCAGAATTAGCACAGAAGATTGGGGGCTGTGGCTAAAGGCAAGGAAGGAAAATAACGACTTTTTTTGTGGGAGGGGAGAGTGTAATTTGACTGAAGCTGCAACAGGAAATGGTGCCTTTACTCTTGTAGCCACTAAGTTTGGCCTTCCATAAATAGTGTGCTCCATTTTTTATTAGAGCTACAACCGTAAATAGTTGTTATTGCTCATGTGCTTTTGAAATACTTATGAATATTTCATCAGTTTGTAAACGTGCACACAGGCAGTTCTCTAATTTACTGACACCTTGCTATTGTTTATGTTGTGTTAAGATTATGAATATGATTGAGATTTAAATCCTGAGCCTGCCTGGGTCAGTTTCTTCCTTGCACAGTCAGACCTTGTGGCTTTATCATGTCTGGCTCCATATATCTTAACTTCTGAAATTAGGGGAAAATGCCCATATTTCAGCCAGGCCCCTCAGCCTTTCTGTGTGCACCTGCAGCACAACTTTTCATCCTTAATGAAGGAAACCCTTTGATACCTGTGACCTCTTGGTTTCACTTTATGAAATGCCAACAAGAAGGTGGGATTTCAGTGAAAGCAGATTGTTCTTTTCTGCTCTAATACTTCAGGGTAGGTCTTGCCATAGAAATATACAATTTCTCATCAAGATGTGTGGGAGAAAGGCTGAGCAGCAGTGTTCCTGAACTTTCCAGGGAATGAGATTCAGTGAACTCTTGATAAAATGCCAGAAGACTTTGGGTTTGCAACTGGTGTAGGATAAAGGCAGTTTTGGATAATAGGAACATTTTCCAGATCATCCGCTGACTACAGAAAAAAAGTGAATAAAGGCAAGACTAGAAAATGGAAGATTCTATGCCATATTCTGGAAAGAATGACTAGTGTCTGAGGTTAGATTGTACAGACCTTTGAAATGCTGATGGCATGTTTTCCCACTGAAGTTCTGAAATTTACACCTTCCCTTGGTGTTCTCCAGAAGATTCAGAATCGCTTCTCTCAGCTTAACCTTATCATCTTCTGGAAGGCAGAATTTTAAATCTTGTTAGAGTGAGAGACTACAAAACTAGGATCTGGTGTTTGCATGCGACTGGTGGAGTGGGTATGGCATACACTGGCTCCAGGAAGCCTGTCATACCTGCCGTATTTACAGGTGAGAAACTCTCTTATACTCTGATTTTGATTTTACCCAAAGAAACTGCCTGCAGAAGCATTTTCCAAAAAAATTGGCAAAAGATGGTCTCAAAGATTTAGGGAAAAAGAGCACTAACAATAAAAATTAGATGTGGGGAAGTACAGGAAGCACCTTCTAGCATTAACAGTATGCCTGAGAGCCCAAGTTCACAGACAAACTTGCAACTCCAGATTTTCCTCCAAAAGAGATCTGGGGTGTGATAAAGGGTTTGTATACCCGAACGAGCCTGAAGAGCAGTCTGCTTCCTTTTTCAAGATCCCGCTTTTAAAATGTTTACAGTGTCAAATATATGAATAGTGAGCCATGTTTATGTTTTCTGAGATTAACTAAGTCACAAAGCTTCATTTGCAGTATTGGATAAAAATTCCTGCTAATTCATACTGGCTGACTTAGGCTTTCATAATTTCTAGTACTAGTTTCATCTACATTTTGGCTTCTAGGTATCACCTTTTTAACACTTTTTGTCTCAGTTTTAACCAGGAAAAGCAGGAAGAAAGACAGATCTAACATTATTAGCGCAATTCCTGTTCACAGAATAACTCTTGAAATCTTTGTACGCAGAGGAGTTCAGTTGCTTTGATATTGCGTCAGGAAAGTCTTGACCAGTGGAGATATTTGCTTGGTTGAATTTCTGGCTTCTGTGTGGTCTTTGGTCCTATCACACTGAATGGTTTTTTTTTTGCAGTCACTTGCTTTCCCCCCGATTTCCTTTCTGACGTCTCTGGTTATGCTGAAGGCCTGTGCCTCATACATTTTACTCAACCTGAGGTACGATCTGCATTTTGCAGAATGTATCCTGATTTTCTTCACCCAGCAGATCTGATTGTTTTGTGTAACTGTAGGTCTCTTTTTCCAGTGTTGCTTTTTATAGCTACATCAATATTAATTCTTCCATTTAGAACAATTAAAAAAAAAAAAACCCACAAAAAATGTGTATTTAAGTTTGCTGTCTTACTGTGTTAACATAAATAGGTCTAATTTCCTCCTATACCCATAATACTGAACTGTATTCCTGTAAATACCCAGAACAATT